GGTGGCCACTGCACTCCAGTCTGGGCAACAGAGTGAGACTCCAGCTCAAAAAAAAAAAAATTATTATAGAGACGAAGTCTCACCAAGTTGTCCAACCTAGTCTTGAACCTGTGGGCTCAGGCAATCCTCTCACCTCTTCCTCTCATAGTACTGGGATTACAGGCATAAGCCATCACACCCGGGGCCACAGGTCATCTGTACTTGTCATCAACCATTCAGGAAACTGAGGTTCAGAGGCTGTGGCTGCCCAAGGATGCCCAGCCAGTAGAAGAGGCAGTTTTGGGGCGGGAGCTCTGGTCTGTCAGCCACCAATGACGCCACATACTTGCTCCCCCAGTCTCCCAGGACTGACAGGCGCTTCCTGGTTGTTGATCGACTGAGTGACTGATTAATCAGAGAGGACTCAGGGTGTCATTGACATGTTACAGAATCTGCAGGGTTTCTGTGAACCCCAAGGGCTTTGTCCACCCTGACCCTCCCCCCAGCCCCTCTCATCCTCTCTCCAGACTCCTGTGGCCCAGCCTCTCCCCACCCCACCCCTGCCAGGCTATTTTCCACAGTCACACACGCTCCAGTGACCTACCAGAAAAGCAAACATCCTGACAGGCGATCAATAAGTAATTGGGCCAGCAGCTGGGGCCGGCGCGGGTGTGAAGCCAGGGACCTTAAGAGGTAGATGGGACTTTTAGCATCCAGCTCGGGACAAGGCTGGTGTGGGTGGGCAGGAGCTGTGGGGGACAGTGGGGACCTGGGCCCCCTGAGGTACCAGTCAGCCCCTCTGCCGGCAAGAATCTGGCAGACAAAGCCGCCACCACCTGGCCTCTACCGCCATCCTCCTCTCCCGCCACTGCCCCAGCGAGGCCACCGGGCAGCCCCACCCCGCCCTGCACGTTCCTGCCTCTTAGCCCCAGTAGGACCCCAGGGCCGCCTCCTCCAGGAGGCCATCCTTGACCTATCCAGTCAGATATCATCCCTTGCCCCAGCACCAAAGCCACATTATTCTTACTATAGTGATACTGTGTAACGGATGTGCAGCCCAGCTCATTCCAAAAGTGAGCCAGGTCAGTCAACAGAAGAATGACGCTACCAGATGAGAAAAAGATAAAACTAGAGAAGGGAAGCCAGTCAGGAAGGAAGGCCACCGAGTCCGGCCTCATGACTAAAGGTGAGAGCTTCCTAGTGCCCAGAGCAAAGAGGAAAACTGGCCCCCAGCCCCAGCACTTGGCACCTCTCCTGACAGGTATGCTCAATCCCGGGACAGTCGTGAGTGCATCTGCCAGAGTGAGGCCCCCAAGGGCAGATCGGGTGTCTGCAGCCTTACTTGAGGTGTGGCTCAGAAAAGACCCTAATGACTGTCCTTTGAGAGGAGGCACGTGTGCATGTGTGAGTTTTTGCTGGGGTGGAAGCCCCTCTGAGGGGCTGACTCTGGAGGGGCCCACTGAGCATGAGATGTGAGGAACAGAAATGTGTTGGTAGCATTGGGTGTGGTGGTGCACACCTGTAGTCCCAGATACTTGGGAGGCTGAGGCAGCAGGATCACTTGAGCTCAGGAGTTCAAGGCCAGCCTAGGCAATGTAGTGAGACTCCATCTCTACAAATACTAGAAAAATTAGCCAGACGTGATGGCATGTGCCTATAGACCCAGCTACTTTGGAGGATGAGGCAAGAGGATCGCTCGGGTCCATGAGTTTGAGGCTGCAGTGGACTATAATCATGCCACTGCATTCCAGCCTGAGCGAGCAGGACTCCATCTCTTAGAAAGCAGCCAGGTGCAGTGGCTCATGCCTATAATCCCAGCACTTTGGGAGGCTGGGGCAGGAGGACTGCTTGAACCCTGGAGTTTGAAACCAGTCTGGGCAACACAGCGAGGCCTCGTCTTTACAAAAAATAAAAAAGATTAGCCTGGGCATGGTGGCACTTGGGAGGCTGAAGCAGGAGGATCGCTTGAGCCCAGGAAGCTGAGGCTGCAGTAAGCTGTGATCACACTACTGTACTCCAGCATGGGCGATGGAGTGCGGCCCCGTCTCTTAAAGAAATACACTGGTGGACAAGCAGGTCTGCCTCGCCCTGCACAGCTGCCACTCCAAGCCTGGCAGCTGGGCCCACGGGACCAGGACACCTCTACTAGGGCACGTCCCCTGAACGGCCTCATCTTATGGCAGCTTCTACACACAGCTGCCCTGAAAGGTGGGGACACTGAGGCCGGGAGAGAATGCCTGATGAGCCGGCACAGCACGCCAGGTTGGATCTCCTGGCCCACCCCCATGGGGTCCCTGTCATCGGGTGGGGGTGGCACGGTCGTGTCTGAGGGGGTCACCAAATTGCCGAGTGGACAGCGTGCCGTGCCTTGCTGTCCCGGCACCGTTAATCCTGCCGGCAACTTGGCGACGGGCGAGGAGAGTGTTTTATGCATTTTAATCAGTGTTTGCTTTTGGACCCTTGCCCCTGAAGGGCTTCCCACAAGGGCAAGAGTTTAAAAATTGGACCCATAAATACAAAAGAAATAAATATCCGCGGGGGGCAGGCCTGCAGAGGAGAGCTGTGCCCAGCCCCACGCCGGGCCGGACCCCACAGTGGCCGGGCCCTCCCGACCCAGAGCGCTGGGGGAGCCAGGCCCTCGGACCCGCGCTGCAGGGGACAACCCAGGCTTTGCGCTGGCCCCGAAGGGGGAGGGACAGGCCCCCACCATTCGCACCCTCATGCATGTGCCGGGGCAGGGATGGCCTGGCCCAGGCAGGGCTCCCTGGCAGGCACCGTTCCACGACCAGCCTGTGTGACCTTGGGCAACGCCTGCCCTCTCTGGCCTGTTTCCCCCACTGCTTGGTGAGTGCAGGACTCTATGGTCCCCGAGGGAGCTGCCAGCTGAACGTAGGCTTTCCCCAGGCGGAAAGTCAACATCCTCAAATCTGGGTGGGGGTACAAGGGTGGGGACACAGACCCCAAATCGCAGTTTCACCATTTGTGGGCACCCCAGGCTGGTTGGCTCCCCTGTTTGGGGCATCACGAGTGAACCATTCCCCCAGGGGCTTGGGGATGGGGGCACCGCTGGTAGAGAAGGAGCATAGGCTCACTCGTGGGAGTTTCAGAGAACCACTGAGGAAGGTCAGGGGTCATTCTGTCCCACAGGGCAGTATCTGCAGGCCCAGGGGGCCAGGGGTGTGTTTCCTCC